AGATCTTTCCCAAACGATGTATAGTAGTGGGACATCTCATGGTCAGTTAAATGTAAAATGCTTTGACCTCCTTCACTAAATAAACGTTTCAAAAACTGTTTGGGAGGATCTAAGGGCTGTGAGAAGAACCAAAATCCCAGGAAAATCTGGAAAAGAATAAAGGTATGAACATTCCAATAACCCTAGACTAAACATAAAAACAATACTAATAATGATGAGCCAATTGCTGAGAATCAACTTTCATCTCGATGTACTTCATATCTATTACCTAGTAATATCCACAATGTAATAGCACTTCCGTGAAAGCTTCTGATATTTTTTTACCTATATACAGGCTAGAAATGGTCAGTATGATATCACAAAAGATATAAATGCCATTATGTAATACATATGGATATTTTGTATTCAACATTTCATACTTGACTTGAACTTCTGATAGGTAATTTTCCATTCCATCTGCATATCAAAATCTATCGAATTTGGTATCAATAGATTCCTGGTGATAATGAGTCTGCATTTAAAGTGGTCTTAGTTGGAGCTAGGCAACAATAAAGATGATAATAAACCCAATAGGTAAGGAGGAGATGAGGAATCCTCAGTAAATAATTGGAAAACATTATGCTGTATTTATGCATTTCGGAATGTAATGTCTCCATTTCATACAACTGTTGAGATGGAGCCAAGACAGGTCTGAGTAACATGACTCAAGAAATGACATAACCAGTTAAGGCAGGCATTCAGCTGGGTAAACACCATGTACTAAATCCAAGGATTTTGACCATTCATACTGTGCTAACTTATCAATTCTACTAGGTTTTCATGATTATATTTGGGTAGTAGATATCAACAGGAATCCACTGGTACCAAATTTGATGTAGACCTAGTCTAGAAATTTAACTTCTGATAAAAGTGAGTGTTTATTAACCTACTTAGAGAGTATCCATGAATAACTACCTACTTTAATGCCATGAATTACTTTCTAATTTACTTATTTACACAATTTTTCATCACTCTTCAATAAAGTACTTTATGACATTCTAAAGCACACTCACCTGTGATACTACAACAGCTAGAGCAACACAGCGACATCTAATCCTTAGCCGCACCATGTTGCCTCTCCTACATGTCTGAGGAATAAAACTGCTCTGTAAATAAAGATTTTTAAGAATAAAAGGGAGAGGGGAATGAGAGGGAGAGAGGGGGAAAGGGAGAGGGAGAGATGAAAGAGGACGGGGGTGAGTGAGAGAGAGAGACAGCACAGGACAGCACAAGACCAGAAAAATACAGTGCACTTTCTGAAGTGAGCAGGTGAGGAAGAGACAGCATGAGAGAAGGGAAAGATGTGCATTTTCGGAACTGTACTGGTAACTTTTTTCACTATTTTTAGAACTAGTATTATGTTGAAAAAGTCCAGGGTTATCCTATTAAGTAAATATTACCTTCCTCCTTCCTGACTGAGTTAAACAGCTGTTCAAAGAACTCACTCTCAACCAAAATATGGAAAGAAACCGAATTCTTTTCATCTTTCAAAAAAATAAAATGAAATAAGTTTTACATATACATGCCATAGCTGACCAAAGGTATTAAGAAATGTGTCTCTTAATAAGCTTAGCATGGTGACAACATAGTTTTTATTCATTCACAAAAATAAACTCTTTTCATCTCTCCAAGTTTTTATTCATTCACTAAAATAAACTCGTTTCATCTTCAAGTGAAACAAGAAAACATAATAAGCCTTGGAGATACCTGGCCAGATAAAATCATTGTTTCTTTAAAGTTTTTCTTGGTTAACACGAAACGACAAGCCCTTACACATAACCTATCTGACCACATAGTTATTGGTACTTTTATTCATTCATGTTTACGTGGGTCAAAATTCAAAGGAAAAAATCAGCCAGTCAACTTTTATTTTTTCCGGAGATTTCACTTACTTTCGCCTCAAGAGAATGGAAGCCCGACTTTCACGATCCTTCATTTGGCACTGTTAGTCAGATTCGGCCGACTTTGAAGAGACTTATAGATAATGATCATAAATATCTTAATAGAAACAAACTAACCTATCAGTGAAAGCATTGAAAGGATCGTTACTCAGTAAAATTGTTCAAACCGTTCATTGTTCAGGAAAAAATAGCCTATAGGCGAAGATTTCAAACCAAAAGCACTGAGCTGCAATATTCATAAATCTATGATAATCTCAAACAAATCACTCCATAAGTAGTACTAAAACCGATTGTTTATGAAGTGAAGTTGTGAAAATTACAAAAACTGATGCAAAAACTAAAATTATGAATGAAGACAGAAAATATAAAATGTGTTGGATGATAATTTAAAGACATAAACAAATAACTATAAGTGATTGAATATTCTTCTCTAAAAGGCATTCAGTAGTTCCTCGACGCATTAGATCTACTTCTTTATTATATTCAATTCTCTTATTGCTGCACTTGGAACCCATTACTATTATTTTGGAGCAAAAGGTTTTTTAATTTATAGCCAAGGT